CTCAGACCTCCCTCCCCCTCCACCCGTCCTGGCTTCACTCTTAGGTGATCTGCTTATAATGTAAATTTTTGTGAACATGCCTTATCTCCCCTGAGAAACAGAAAGAGAGCCTTGAAAGCCGAGACTGTGGCTGATTCGCCTCCAACTCTCCAGCCCAGGCCTGAGTCGGTGGCATCTGCTGACTCTGGAAGCACTTGTACATGCAGCTCACAGGCGCACATACCCCGGCTCAGATAGGGGCCAGGGCCAGAGTCAGGTCTCTGCTACAGTAATTCTATGTAACGAGCCTCCAAACTCCCAGTGGCTTGTAGCATCTCTTTTTCTTGCCTGTGGGTCTGTGGGTGGCTGGGTGGCTCTGCTTCAGGCTGCAGGTCTGTGGGTGGCCTGGGCTCTCATGGAATTGGCCAGGCTCCGGGCCATAGGGTGGCTCCAGATCTGTTCCGTGTGCCTGTGATTGGGGACCAAGGCATAAAGGCAGTGGTTATGTGGGACAAGTTCTTCTTACGGCAGACCAGCAGGAGTGGGAGTAGACAAGCCAAACAGCAAGGCCATTTAAAGCCACCAGTCTCATTGCACCCACTAATTCCCACTGGTCAAAGCAAGCCTCCTGGTCAACCTCATGTCAGCTGGGCAGGGAAGCCCACCCCACCTACTCTAGTGCGATGACTGCGAGGTCACAGGACAAAGCCAGCTCTGTTACAGGGAGGGAGTAAGAACCAGGGACACGTCCCAGCCCCGCCGGCAGCTGCCCAGCCTCTGCAGGAGGAGCAGGGGCCCTGCAGGGCTGATGGTGCCCACCATCTCTCTAGACCCTCTTCTCTCAGCAGATGAGCCGACCTCCCCCAAGAAACCCAAGAGCGTCCCGGAACCAGAGCCTGGTGATGTGGAAGGTGAAGCCACCTCCCCGCCACCCTCAGAGTGGACCTCCGTGAGGATCAGCCCCGGGGAGGACGTGGTTGGGCAGGACGTGCTGGCGGTGTGTGTCCTGGTCACCAGCGATGACAGCAGGTACGCTCAGGCCACTGCAGGAGGGGGCAGCAGAGTGGGTCAGGAAGGGGGACAGTGTTCAGAGGCTGAGCTTCCTGCTTGCTTGCAGCCTGAGCTCTCTGCGCCTCCATTTTGTCATCTGTAAAACGGGGGCAGTCGTAGCACCTGTCCCATGGGGAGCTGTGCGATTGAAGAATTAATAGGTAAACTGTAGAATGACTCAAACTAGCTTCAGTAACGAAGGTCAATACACCGGTTCCTCTGATGGGAAGAGCAAGCGTGGGGCTCACTGCAGGCAAGGTTGGAGCCAGGGACTCAAATAGCCGCTCTCGCTTGTTGCCTGTCTGCACATGGGATTACAACGGCCCACAGAGAGGCTGTCTCCATGCCTGGGACTCCTGGCTACTGAGGACCACAGCCCACGTTCATAAATTCATGCCCGAATATCAAGATTTCAAGGTAGGCCTCCAGCGGGTGCCACCCATGTCGCGTGCCCACCTCCGGGGTGACCGGTGACCGGGACTGGGATGCCATGACCGGTGGGCCTGGGCCGTCTGGTGGATAGGCAGACAACCAAAGCCTGCAGATGGATGAGGGGCAGTGACCTAATAAAAGGAAGCATACTGGATGTATATATAGAGAGACAGTAAATAGGCATATTTACTGAGAAGCCACTGTCCAGCAGGCTTTGTGCTCTCTCATCCTGGACCATGGTTGCGCTGTGCTCGCATCCTAGGACACCCGGCTTCCATTTCTCTGCCATTTGAATTCCTGCTGATTATTTAAGACCCAGGTTAAATACTGCCCCTCCCCCTCCCCCAGGTAGTCTTTTCCATCCCCCATCCATTCCCAAGGGAGGCAGGCAGTAGTCAAGCCTGAAGGTTTAGGACCAGGTCCCTAATGATGAGCTCATTTCACCCAGAGAGCTTACACACCACCGTTCCCAGGGATGGGTGAGGGTGAGAGGACCAGCCTCCAGGCCAGTATCTCACTGCACACTTGGTGGGCTTCTTCCTCCCGCTCTGACCCGTGCCAGAGTTCCTTCGCTAAGGCTGCCATGAAGTGCCACAGACTGGACGGCTTAAACAACTGAGATTCACTCTCAGCTCTGGAGGCTGGGAGTCTGAGGTCGAAGGGTTAACGGGGTTGGTTCCTTCTG